CTTAAAATAATATGTTCTGACTTAACATACATAATAAACTGAATTTGACATGTAAAGGCTGAACTTAACTCTACAACCTTAGCCCTTGGCCGTGGCGCACTCGCTATGTGCGAGGCCTACGGCCTTCGGCCAAACCTCAACCAACAAGGCAAGCAACTCGACCAATTTAACTTTACTGAACTTAACATGAATAAACTTATCAAACATGACCTGAAGGTTCAGCAAACACATATCGAACATCAAAGGGCCGCGGCGAACGCCCGAGCGCCGCCGACGGCTATGTGCCGTCTCTCGGCCGATCTTAATTATTTGACCGACCACTACAGAAACACTCAACATGACTATTAAACTGAAGCAATTTAAGGACTGATCACACGGATAACATGCTTAATACTGGAGATAACAATTCTCGGCCCGAAGCCACCCGAGGCCACGCGCGATAGGCGCAGCGTCGGTTGGGGCCATTTAATCGACCAAACTCTGACCTTTCTAGAGAAAACTGTACTCACTGAACATGATAAACTGAATAAAGATTAAATGAACGAAAAGTGCTCGGATCATGCTGGACTGAATTGAACATACGGAGACATCAACGCACCTACGCATGAACCGAACATAACATGCTTTATCTTTGAATTTCTGAAATTTATTCGAACAATTAACCTCCGAATAACCGTACCAATATGATCCTAAACTGAAGGAGGGATTACCTCTCCAATCGGTCGGTGGAAATTCGAAACTAAACGTGGCTTCCTTCCTCGCGTATGTGCGCCGTGCGATAGCTCTCGTCTCGCCGTGCTATTTGGATGAAAAACTAAGGAACTTTGCTAGATAATTGGTTGCTGTAAGGGCTGGGATATATGCTGATTGTATAGGAATATATATGCTGCTCAAGGTCATGAAAAGGTGGGAAATTTTGCCTAAGTCCTCCCCTTTTATAGTCACTTCCGTGGGGATGATGATGATGATGACTTGATGTGGCTTTCTTAGCTTCTAACATTTGTTCTCATTTGGGATAATTACATGATGACTAATCTCTTATCAAGCCTTGCTAAATTGCCACGTATCATAATTAATTGATGAGGGAAAATTATTTTCCTTGCGTGAAAGGAAGCTCACGGCTTTGCT